GAAAATAAATAAAAATAAAGACATGCCTGCTTCTATCATCACAATTATCCTAACTCTCCAGATTCACACCACAACATAACATTTGGTCCTATTTGGAAGACCAGACAAACAAGTAATTGTCCTTAGATGACTCCACATTTAACAAAACCTCCCACTGAAGCAGAGGACTGATCAATACATCATACAACATGACTGGGACACCCTTTATTTTTATTTATTTTCTGCATGGCAGCCTTCTGAACTCCTGAATGTTAAAAGGCATAAATTCAGAGTTCTGCATGCACAAGGTTAACTCCAAGTTGATGGAGTTAGCAGAGATGGCCAAACTGATTGAAGAAAAAAATACAATTACTTTTGTTTCTTGGAAACTTGGAAATTACTTGGAAACCGCTTCTGATTTTGTGCTTGAGGAGGAAAAAAATGACACTTTGATTTTGGGTTTGATCGATTAATAGGTTTATTGTTATACAAGTGACTAGTTTGTAATATTATTATGTAAAAGTAAAAAGTTGAGGTTTGATGTTACTATCTTATTATTCTACTGCAATGAAGGGAATTGGAAGTCAATGCCTTTTCTTTCTTTTTTTCCCCTTGCCATACACTTTTCCCTTTCACTTTTTCTGCTCTATTTTCCAACTATTTTCTTTTGTATTTTGTATTATATATTATACACTAATAAAAAATTAAAAAGCAAAAAGATTAACTCCAAATGCCTAGAAAAATCAATGTATTTTAGTTCCCATGAGATGGTGAATACTTTGGACAAGCAACACCAACCTGTGTATATGTATCGGTAATAGTATAGTCTACCAGAACCATGACAAGTATGGAAATAGGGATTCCAAAATCTCCAATGATTCTCCGGACCTATAGAACAAACATGGGAGATAACAATGAACATAAGATAAGTTGGAGATATTACTGGGGGATCAAATCTACCTTCTTAACCCAATTTTTTCCAACTTCTGAAGAAATGTCCCTTATGACATAGAAGGGCAATTCTAAGTAAAAATACATTAATAGGGTAATAATACACCTTTTGAAGGATAATAACTACATCTTTAATACTCTATGTCTCTTTATCTCTCCATTGCCAGTTCCATTGAACCTACCTGGCCAGGTTCAAGATGATTTATTTTTAACACTCTCCAGGTTTAAAACAACTCAGGGGCATTTTCACTTTTAAATATAGTGGAAACTGAGTATTTGCAGGGAGAAGAGGGAATATCTTTTGATTCCATAGCTATGATTTTGGCCAAGCTATCTATTAAGAAATTCACAAAGAAAGACTACTTCATTTATTACTTTTGGGAATCCTAATTTTATTGTGAATTAGAATGAAAAAGACAGATAAATCAGCTGAAATAGTTGCATGGGAGAAAAGCCACAATACATTTTTACTCAGAACCAGATCTTAGGTTTACCTTTCCTCCCAAAAAACGGCTGTTCTTAAACTTGCGCATAAAAAAGGCAATGAAAAATGTCCCCAACATGAGGATGAGGGATAGAAGTGCTGTGTTGGGTTGCATTCGGATATCAAGGGCTGTAGAATCGGCAGATAATATGCTAGTATTCAAATTTCTTTGAAGATTTGGTGGATAGAATCGCAGCAAAGGATGTTCTGCAAATATCTGGGAACACAGTATAGGGAAGAAAAGCATTTACTACTGTATCACTCCTTTCAGCCACAGAAATTGTAGCTGTTAAAACCTTTTATTTAGAGCCAGAATGACAGCGGGTAGTTTTAAAAAAGATCAAAACTAGTAAAGAGTCACATGCCTATCGGTTATTTTAAACGGAATCTGACAGCTGATATAAGCAGCTAATCACAAATTCTTTGGAGATAGGCTTACCTTGTACAGTTTGTAGAATGTTTCATAAATGAAGATGAGGGAGATGAGGAAGGCAAAAATCTCCTGGGTGAAGGGTGTAATGTAGCGCACCAAGAAGCTGCCTTCAGCAGCTACAATAATGATAATGAAGACAATGAGCCAGAAGCCAATCCACACCCGACCTGTCAAATACTCGATGTTCTGGCTCTGACAAAACTGGCAAAATAAAAATAAAAATGGGAGTTTAGAGACATCACCTAAGTCTGCCTTCTAACCTTGCATAGTTTCCTAGCCTGTCCTCGAAAACACCCCATAATATGATCTCCCAAGTGTCTGTTTTTTCAAGAAGACAACACTAATTGAAGTTTATCAAAAAACTGCATAAGATTGCAGTAGAGATAATATAAACTCTAATTTGTATATGGAGGAAGTTTCAAAGAACCCACAGTGGGTTCCACATAGCCTACTTCCCAATATCCACTGTCTTGTTCTATTAAGCCTTTACTAGGCTACTTTGAGATAGAATTGCAATTTATTTACCCAACCTTTCTTCCAGTTTAATACACTATAGAATGCTAGCCACATGATTGCCAAACCTGCAGAAGTTACAGAGAGACCCTCTGGGTGCACAATTCTTGCAGGCAAAGATAAAAAACATTCAAAGCAGCAGCAAAATCAGCCATGTTGGTCATTGATTAAGATACGGCTATAAAAATTGAATAAATATATAAATTTTTGCTGTATACTATTATAAAGCAACACATTACCATCTTAGCTAAGGCAATGAATTTATTTTAAGTTATTAAACTGAGACCAGTGCTCTTATCCTAGGTACAATTTGCTGAAGTATGAATGCACAACAATTGACAACTATTGGATCTATTTGTGGAGATTAGAAAACTGTTTTTTTAAAATAATATGAACCATCACTAGCTTTAAACAGGCCAAATCTAGATGTTACTTGAGCAGCATAATGGCTTCATAAATACATGCTACCAAAAAAGATCAAGTCTTTGTGTAGTATGGCTCCTATATGTTATGACGTAAAAACACCCATATTGGTAGCCAACTTTAATGAGATAGTAAAAATAGTTTCAGCATAGGTGAGAAACACTTCATACAAATCATTTCTCACATGTCTTATCTGTTCAGTATTTTGACAGCAACTGTAATACCCAAATAATGTGTGAATTAGACTATAAATGAGCTTTACAGGGATATTATGTATGTATGTATGTATGTATGTATGTATGTATGTATGTATGTTCAGTTCAGTTTATTGTATTTATATGCCGCCCTTTTCCCCCGAAGGGGANAAGAAAGGAATAAGTATCCATTCAATTACAGTGGGTATCTCTGTTACAAGTCAAAAGCGTTGGGGATGTTGGAGGATGGTCGAGAGCTATCTGGGAAAATGTGTATCTGCTATTCTAATGCAGTAAGGAAGACAAATATTAAATTGCTTGTTCTTCCTCTTCAAGTGGTATCTGCATGGCATACTTTATAGCAATAGCACTTAGACATATATACCACTTCACAGTGCTTTTACAGCCCTCTCTAAGCGATTTACAGAGTCAACCTATTGCCCCCAAACAATCTGGGTCTTTATTTTACCGACCTCAGAAGGATGGAAGACTGAGTCAACTTTGCGCTGGTGAGATTTGAATTGTTTAACTGCAGCTAGCAGTCAGCTGACGTAGCCTGCAGTACTGCACTCTAACCACTGTGCCACCTCACCACCTTATAGAGCATGCTATCCATTTGGCGAAAGTAAATGTGCATAATGATCAAATAAAGATTAGTTCTCTTAATATCTTACCGCTTTCAGTTCTCTTTCGTGGAAGAAACGTGGCAACAGGTATCGCCGTAGAGGAACTGTCATGATCAGGACAAATGGGAAAGCCAGTGATGCCACTGTGGATTTTACCACCCATAGCAATACAAGGCAGGCTAGTTGGATGCATGTGAAGAGATTCATTCGCCAAGTCTTCACCTGAAGGAGAAAAAAGTGTTAAGAAATCTTGTGCACAGAAGCAACAACCTGCTTGCAAGACAAAGATTGATAACAAAAAAAAAAACGGAACTTGAAAATAATAACAACATTATAAAACATCAACATCTGCCTATCCCATGTCCTTGGGAAGGACTCGATGGGAGGACAAAAATGCCAAATCCAGTCTGAAATCTGGTTGACTGTGCAGTGAACAACAACAACAATAATAAAAAAATTGTATGTTTGAGCCCCAGTGACTCTCAGTGAAGAAAACTATAGGAAAAAAACAACAGGAATAGAAACATTAGACAATAACTATTATTAAAACACACAGTCTCTATATTCTTAATAAAACACCATTGTTTTGATGATGCCATCCCAATCTCCATTTACTACTTCTACCTGCAGACATTCTTCTCTTGCCATCCAATGGATTCATTGTTTACCTTCTCAATTCCCCTGAAAATATACTACAGTACCTTGATAACATAAATGTGATCAGGGTGATGCTTGGATGGCATGAAGATCAGGAGGAGCCTTTCATATAACTGAATGCCAGTCAAAGATGTCACGCCCATATACAGGAAAACCCCAAACAGCACAGCCAATGGAATCTGACGTAGTATACTTCCCATGGCAATGGAGAGACCTGCAAATAGCACAGAATGTTCCATTTTCTTTCAAAAAATACCTATATAACTATAGTGAGAATATAAGACAATGCCTAAAATGGCACATGTAAATTTTCAAGGAATTCAGAAGAATGGCGCTGGCAGAGAGATACAAATATAGTGGTACCTCAGTACTCAACTACTTCAAAACATATCAAATTTGGTATTCAACACATTTTGATGTTAAAATGTTGTCCTGGTACTCAGCATTTGTTTGCTATTCAACACATTGCAATAGAAAGTAGGGGACAGCTGCAGAAGACAGACGGAAAGTCGTCTATGCTGGGAAGATTGCTGACACAGGAAAAATAGGAAATCCTTCCCGGCTGAAACAGTGTCATGTCACATGGTTAGTTTGGTACTTTGAGTACTTGTCATGCCTCCTGGAAACACATAAGGGTGAGTACAGATAGTCCTTGAGTTATTATCATAATTGAGTCCAAAATTTCTGTTGCTAAGTGAGACATTTCATAAATGAATTTTGTCCCATTTTATGACATTTGTTGCCATAGTTGTTAAGTGAATCATTGCAGTTGTTAAGTTAGTATCATGGTTGTTAAGTGAATCTGGCTTTCCCATTGATTTTGCCTGTCAGAAGGTCACAAAAGGTGATCACATGACCCTGGAACACTGCAATTGTCATAAAGATGAGTCAGCTGCCAAGCGTTTGAATTTCAATCGCATGACCAGTGGGATGCTGCAACACTCATAAATGTGAAAAATGGTCATGTCACTTATTTCAGTGCTGTTGTTAACTTCGAAGTCACTAAATGAATGGGAAAGC